CTGGCAGGGCACAAGAAGCTGAAAAGTCCATAACTTAGTATAAACACTGCTTCGTAACACCTAAAAACACGGGTGTGTTATCAACATTATTCTCATCCTAAATCCGAAACACATCATTATACTAGCTACTAGGAAGAAAATTGACGCTATCCCAGCTGAAACCAGGACACGCAGCCTGCAAGGTCTGCATGTAGAGTTGTTCAAATCCATGAGTTTAGCTATCGTTAGGCCAGTCTTTTAGTTAAAGCTAACTGGTTTATCAAGTATAATTAAGACTTTTTGAAAACTCATTCTGGTTTTGTCTGGTATTTATATTAAGTTTTACTTGGAGAAAATCGGCAAGCGTGCAACTACTGGTAACTGAAATGATGCTGTCTTACAGAGCATGCTGATGACTTGGACCTTCATTCTGGAGACACCGTTTGTCTTTTGGAGAAAATCGATACCGAGTGGTACAGAGGAAAATGTGGGAATCGCACTGGGATATTTCCTGCCAGCTTTGTTAAAGTAGTGGTATGTAGGCTTTGTATACATTGCTACGTAAGATCCTACTGCATTTGTTCTCTGGTTCTATTTTACCATAGCTCCCGTGCATTTAACTCCATTCTGTATTTAGATAATCTCTTTTCCCTCTGGCAGCATAGAAGACCTATCTGCTTGTTTGTAAGGTATTAGAAAGATGCTTGATTTGGCACAACCAACTTGTGTTATGGGGATTATTTTGCTGTTAATTTGAAGCCAAGTGAGAAAATCATCGCCCATACCAGATTCTCTTTGTTACCCTGGGTAGTTTCTCAGGGTCTACAGAGCAGATTATTTTTCACAGTTGCATGTAAGAATCAACAGAGTCAGTAAGATGGTTGCTTTTTTTGTGCCTCCCCCCAGCCCTCCAGCTGCTCTCATTTTCTTGTCCTTTGAACTCTGCTGGAATCACCACTTTTATAGCCATGGAGTGAACTAGGTCAGGGCAGCAGTTGGGCCCAACAAAACATGTTATTTTTCTTCCTAGAATGTTTTTTTCCAGCTGGATCAATTCGCCTAAGTGGCTTACTAAGTGGCTGCACAAATGGTTGCGCTGGCACAGTGCAAGGAGATTGGGTTGTTGCAAATGAGGAGCTTAAAGCAATCCCGTTACTGAACGTGACACTTGACAGCAAACAGCAGGCAAGAGACAGGTGCTGGTTTGGAGCCCAACAGCAATTAACTGAGTGCCTCGTCTTTAAAGGAGATACAGAATGGCTCACTGCATCAAAAGCTGGGTCAAATCTATTGCAAGCCTCAGTCTGAGATTGAAGTCCCTTTTGTGGCAGTGGAAGGGGCCGTTGGGCTGTCCACACCAGCCATATGGACACGGAGGAATGCTAAACTGACACCGAGATGCAGTGAAGGTGTATGGCTGGGCATTACAGACAGTAAGGGTCCGTGTCGAGCCGGGACAGCTGGCAGAGATGAGCACTGCTGCTACACGGACAATACCAAGTACTTGGTAACCATCAGAGAGCGTAGGGTCTTCGTTCCGTTTGTGATGGTGTTATTAGAGAAAAAAAATTAAGATCTGAGAAGTGCTGAAGAATAAAAACTAAACTCGGGATTAGTAATAATGGAACCATGCTCGATTTGCTTTCACAAAAAAGACTTGTTAGCTAAATTGGTTAGCTGCTTCTACACAGACCAACAATTCAAAAGCTTTTGTTACTACTGATGGCAAATAGATAAAAAGTTTTACGTTAAAGCAGTGGAATGAGTATTTGGGGTCAAATTCAGCATTGACAGAGACAGATACAACTTCATAAAGGGTAGAGAAGATGTGTTTCAAATTTCTATTTTAGTTGTAAAAGGCAGTTACCCTTTGAGTACAAAAATCTTTTGTTTCAGCAAAATTTAAAAAACAACAGGAAAAAGTTCAGTACTTGAGGCTAATTTACTAAGTGAATTCTGCTGTCCATTCATGTCAGCTTTGATCTCCATACAAGGTCTCTATACAATACGCTATAGTGTGTTTTACACTGTTGAGCTGGGTGGTAGCTTAGGTCTGGAGACCTAACAATCATACGTGGGTATTACTTCCCATGGAACCTGCAGAGCGCCACAGGCACCAGCCCCTCTAGCGAGAGCACTGCAAAGATCATTTGCCCTAAGAGGCTGCATGATTCCCTGCAGTCCTTCCCAGGAACTAGCAAAACATTCTTGTTGATTTTTAGGGGAACTGGCTCATGCGATAGTGAGCTGTAACCCAAGGCTCCTCGCCAGGGTCTCTAGGCTTGCAGTCTTACACATCTCACAGATCATCCGTCGTGTCACACCAGCAGTACAACTGAAGTCCTCTTACGATAAAGGACCTGAATGCTGTCTGTTTCATATACCCATGTATTGACTTTCTAAATTATATTTCTCCAATTCGGGTGAGATTTGTGAGATGTAGTTTTGTTTGGAGGACAGCCGGCCACCAAAGCCCAGAAAGGATAAGTGTAAACAATAATTTTGTCTTTTGTGATATATTGTGCTAGTAAATAATGGAGAGCAATTACCAATTGAAAGTTGGGAGCTAAATGCAGTAACATGCAGTAGCATCCAGTCCCATATTCTGTCAATGAGTCATGCCACAAGTAGAAACAGTAAACCACCTTCAGAACAGAAAACAGGAATAGTGCTCCTTGTTTGCATGAGCTTGAAAAATGAGAAATCGGGCACACAAACCAGAAATCTACATTAATACAGTCACATATCGTAGCATGCCAGCAACTATTGAGCATCACATGGCAGTCATTACGAGCTGATGCTTAGCTGAAAAATAGATTATTTCAACCAGTTCCAAGTTTATTGTAGTTACGTTGCCATGAGCTTGAAATGGAAGATTTTACTTATTTTGTTGTCTTATTAGATTGATGTTCCAGAAGAAGGCAACAGGAAAAAAATACCCTGTTCATCACAATCTATTAGGTGAGTCAGATAGATTTATCTTTCTTTCTCATGCTGATTTACTAGGAAGTAAAAAGAAAGATAACTTTGAAGCAGATGTTATCCACTCTGATGTTAATATGGTTAACAGTTTCTTCACCAAAATATATCTTAAAAATTAAGCTCTCAAAACTGAAAGTTTATGATGTTTTAGTAAAACTCATATTCAGGTAAAAAAAGCCTAGAAACTCACTTCATGGCTTAAAAAAATTGGTAATCACTTTATCTTATGAGCTGTATTAGAAGAGCACTTCCCCTAATTTTTCATGAAAATTGGTTACAGAGACTGTGAGCCAACCTGATTAACTTCAGCAGCATCGCACTCTCCTCTCTTTGTTCCTGGCCTTGTTACCTTCTTCCAGTATCCTCTTAAGATGTAACACGGCAAGGCGCCTACTGATTTGAAAGAACAAGATAAATTGGGACAGAATAGAGCTTACTTTAAGTAGAGAAATCTATCTAACCTTAAAGCGTATAACCATACAAGTGAATCTAAAGTTCCCCAGATCAAATTATCAAATGTACTTCAAGCACTTTCATTTCTGATTTGCAAACAACCTGTACTAAGACTTGTGGGCAAGGAACAATTTTTCATGCCATTTTTACTCAATGATGATTTATTGGATTTTGTAATCGTTCACTGCAGCAATTAAAGCAAATTCAGGCAGAGGCAGGAACCACTAGTGTCAATGGGACCGTTCAGCTTGTTCTTCAGATCAAGCTTGGCTTGTCTTAAACAAAACTGTATTTTTAAAAGCTGCTTCTGCAACTAAGAAAGAAATGGAAAGTGCTAGCTCTGTCGTGAAGCTTTTGCAAAGTTATGAGTTGGGGATCGGCGTGGGAATCAAGCTTCCTACATTGGTTGTATGCTATGATGCCATAGAAAGAATTAAAGTCTATTAGCACTTTTTTCCAGCATGGTATCTCTGATAAATCAAAAATTTTCTCAGAGTAATTTCTTAAATTTATTTTAGTAGTTCATTAAATTATTGAATCTATTTAAGTAAGTGAGGAAAAAAATAATTCATTTTTTAGTATTATACCAAATTAGGTAAAATTTATCAGATGCTTTGATGTTTCTTTCTTCGATAGGTGAGTTACTTCCCCATGATGGGGATAGATTTTACAGAATAAAGTTTGTCAAAGTAGATAAAAAACAGCTTCCCTCTATGAAACCTCCACATATTTGGGATTTGAGACAAATACACAGCACCCACCTCCTGCCCATGTTTGATTGCATCTGAATTGGATGCTAGCTCGAAAAAAACCCATGAAACAAAAGTCTGTCAGGACACTTATTTGGATATAGGCAAAAACATAAAATAGGACAGGTATCCCAGAAACAGAGAGAGATACGGGTTTTGTTTGGAAGAGAAATAGGATCTTATGGGGTGCAGAAGTTGCATCCAGCTACTCTAGACTCCATACTCTTCCTCCTCGGAAAGCAGAGATGAGAACCAGGGCTAGACCCCCATTTTCCAGCTGTTCTGTCCTCAGTGCCTTCTTTCATCATTTTAATTAAAGATATCAAGCCCTATTTTGCACAATGCTGCCTTGATAATAAGTGGACAATTATAATAAATAAGCAAAGTAAGTTTCTCTTTTGTTTGTGCAGAGGCCCGAGATGTGTAGCACGATTTGAATATATCCAAGATCAGAAAGATGAGCTCAGTTTTTCAGAAGGTGAAACTATTATCCTCAAAGAATATGTAAATGAAGAGTGGGCCAAAGGAGAGCTCAGAGGAACATCTGGAATTTTCCCATTGAACTTTGTGGAAGTATTTGAAGATCTGCCTGGAACAGGTATGAATATGTTGGCCAAAATCTTCAAGAACATGGCTTTGTACTGCAGGCATACAGGTAGCATACAGAAGAAAAGTCCAAAAAGACAATGAATGCAGGAAGGAAGTAGAAAGCGAGAGAAGACAGATTAAAAAAAAACAAAAAAAAAAAAAAACCAAACAAAAGGAATAGTAGGACTTCTTAAAAAGCTATTCTTAATAATCACTTTGAATATCTAAAATATCTATCATTAGTGACATTTTGAATAGTCATTGCTGCTATTCTAAGTAAGTAAGTTGTGCTTTACTTATGTAGGTACAGGAGCAGCACTGAACAACAAGGTGGAGGTTTCTTCGTCCCTTCCTCAGGTAATAAAATTGTGTAGGTGAGGGCCAGAATTGCCACAGCGGTTTCATAGCTTTACATAGACTTTCTATTATAACGTCAGATTAGCTGTACAACTTTAAGCCTGAATGTAACGCAACTCCCACAGCGCACAATGCTGCACGGTCACATCTTGAATTCTGACAGTTGGCCTAAACTGACGGAATTCATAGCTTCTGGGAAACTAACAGAAGTAAATTTTTATCCTTTGTGCTTAAGCAAATTCTTGTCAGCTCTATTTTTAAGTATCGCTGCAGTGGTCTAATTTTGAATTTATTAATCCTGTCCCCTGCCACCAATGATGAAAAGGAATGCATCTGAGCCCAGATGAAATTCTGTGGCAATTGCTGAAATGCCATTCTAGCCTACATCTGCAGCGACAGTATTGTATGAGAGAAAGTCAGGGCACCCGTGTTCTGTACAGCTGCTTTCACCAGCATCCATCAGCTTACGGGCTCCATTAACGCTTCTAAAATTAACGCATTTCTTCTGTTCACTTGAACAGAACAACAGACGCTCAGTAGAGTGGTGTGAAGCGCTTCATGATTTTACAGCAGAAACCAAAGATGATTTATCCTTTAAAAAGGGAGACTACATCCAAATACTGGAACAAGTAGATTCAGAGTGGTATAGAGGAAGACTGAATGAAAAGGAAGGGATTTTCCCAGCAGTTTTTGTTCAGATCTGCTCAGGTACAGTGCTCCTACTGGATGGCAATTCATTACTCCGTGGGTTGTGACTGTCATGACAGAGCTCTGGGAGGACCCAGCTATTCCGCTGCATTAACAAGCCACACACCCACAGTCCTTAATATCCTGAAGGTAAACTAAGTGTTGAACCACCCGCTCTAATAACAGCAATATAATGCTCGAGTCAGTGAGTAATCTGGGAGGCGATACGGATTCTGGGATGGTTTTTAAAGTGTGGTTTGGGCACAGGCAAAATAGGACCATGGAGCTGCCTTTATGAGGAATTCAGAGGTACAAAAGATGGGGGGAGCCAGGTCCTCCCTCAGCTGATGAGAAACACTGCAGCACAGCCAAAGAGCTGGCAGAGCTGTAAATAACGATAACTGCTGCTTCTTGGCACAGAACTATTGTAATCACCTTGGTGAAGCAAGGAACAAATGCTGCTTGCTCTCCTCAAGCTTCTGTTTGGTCCCCAAATCAACACAGTCAAAACCTTCACACAGGACACAGAAAATCACAATTTTCTCCCCATAGTTTTTGCAAGTAAAGCCATGAGTGAAAGCTGACGGGAAATAAAATTCCACCTAACTGTCAAATAGCATGCACTGAGTGCTGCTTCATCTCCAAAGAGGAAAAAAGCTTTTATTAGATAGCACCATTGGAAAATTCAAGTAAGTGAACTTTAAATTTAGTCCTCTTAGAAGCAGAACATGAGAACGTGTTTAGTTCTGCAAAATGAACTGCTGCCAGTAGAGATTTTTATTCCAGTAGGACAGTGAATTTGCTAAGTAGCAGCAGTAATAACATCTGGACACCCTCCAGCACAGTAGTGGGGAGAAAACATGAGAATGACAGGAAAGTTATCCAGAAACAGAGATCTGTTTCACTGCAATCCAAGTAACTTGTCTTGTCCATGTTCTGCAGCCAGGGTAGAGCTGTCACAGTCTGTGGGAGGGAAGAAAGGAAAAGCCAAAGCTCTTTATGATTTTCACGGAGAAAATGAAGATGAGCTTTCCTTCAAAGTAAGTAGCTTGCTTAGCCCAATTTTCCAAAAGATCTTACGCTCCTAAAGAATGCTAAAAAATAAGATTTATCCTCTGTGAAAATAGGCTTGGAACAAGAAAGAACAAAGCCCATAAAATAGGCATAAATACCAACACATTTGGTAAACGGTCTCTCTAAAAAAATTTTTGCCCTTGCCACTTCAGTTTCACAATGGCAAAATCTTCACTAAAGACATTGAAAAGAGGTCAGGAGTTCCAGAATTCCTCTGACTTCTCTGATCCAGTAAACATGACAAGACAAACAAACCTCATTTTGCAGTACATTCAGTTCGTGATCAGTTGATATGGCCAAGGGAGCCTCTTTTTAAACCAGAAAGGCAGCAACAAGAAGGATAATTTACTAAGAGTGCCAGTGCTCCAGCAGCAGTGCCTCTAAGGCACACCTAATACAGCAAAATCTAAAAGTTCGGCAGCACAATACATAGTTGTCATTGGAACAAGGGGAGAAATTAAATACTTGCTGGACGCCCAAATAATATTAAGAAGCACTAGCGTGAAACAGCGTGCCCATGTAGATTCAAAGTCATGATTTGGGTAACTGTCCTCAAAAGCAAGTTTTTGAGAAACGGCAGGCTTTCACAGCAGGCCCAAAATTGTGCGTATCAGCTGGAACGCACTATCGCCTCTTCTAAAACTAGCAAAATCGTTTCAGCGTTAGCAGCTTGCAATGCTGAAAGGATGGATGATTCTTTAAAGCAGAAAAGGGGAACAGAGGTAGTGGAAGAAAGGCCAGGGCCACGACAGAACTTCAGATGAAGAGTGTGGCACGGGACAATGAAAACAGAAACAGGGATCAAACCCAGGAGCTACAGTTTATTTTAAACAGCCACACTGAGCAGCTTAGACAACTGCTTTCCTTTGGGGGAAAGGAACGTTTCCAGAGGAAAGAGGAAAGTTTCCAAGTGCTGGAAAATATTGGGACTAAATTGGAAAAAAAAAAAAAAGGCAGCTTTGAAGTGTTTTAAGAAAAGAAACCCTCCTAACAGAGCAGGGAGACACACACAAATAACAAGTAAGGCGGGGGCCCCTGAGTCAGCTCCCTAACGTACCCACTGACCCAGAGAGCTGAAGCAACACAAGAAGTTATCCAGCAGTGCTATTTTTTTCCCTCTGGAAGGCGGTGATTTTTCAGCATAGACAAGTATTTACCCTAAGAGAAGCTTCAGCTGGTTTTGGCAAACAATCTCTAGGAGATATAACCAACAGAAGAGACTGGCCACATCCTACTTCTTTTCTATTTGATTGATATTAATTGCTTCTGAGTAACATCGGCGATGCATGCTTTAACACTGCAGGCTAAGCTGTACTGGCTCACGTTACTCCTTCTCTTACAGGCCGGTGATATAATATCAGAGCTGGAATCTGTAGACGAGGACTGGATGAGTGGAGAGATACAAGGAAAGTCTGGGATATTTCCCAAGAACTTTGTTCAGATTTTAAAAACACCGTGAAGTGTTGTCTCTCTTTGTGCTCCCTGCACATGGGAGAGAATGTTTTCTATCCTAAAGGCACAGCAAAGACATCAATGTGTTTTGACTATCAATGTTTTGCACTACTTTTTCTAGACAGTCATACTAGTATCTTGAAGTCAAATAAGAAAATTGTAGTCTTTTGCAACAGTGTATGTAGTCATGCTTCATGAATGCTCTGAGAGCAAGTACAAGTGGGATTTTTAGCGGTTTCCAACTAGGGAAATACTGTGATGCAACACCATTTTAACTTACATAGCATTCTAGTATGTTTACTATCTGGTATTACATTTATCATGCGCAGAGTCTGCATAAAGTAAGCTTCTTTGGGCTTCTTTAAAAACTTTTTAAAATCCAAATGTAAAAACCTGTTTTTAAGATACAATTACAGGACTCAGTATGTAGATCAAGTTTGATATTCAGGTTTCATTACTGTTTGAATTCCACATTAGCAGTAGAATCCATTTGTTTTATGACTTACGAGGATAAGATAACTGATATTTCATAGTAGAAAAATATCAAATCTAATACCAGTGAGAGGGAAAACTCAGAAGCAAATCCTTGTGTAGCATTCTTCTATTCTTAGCCCAAGCTGCTCATACAGGAAGATCACAAAAGTAAAACTTTAAGTATTTTGCCTCTTAATGAATAATGTCTAAATTGGTATGAATCATCTTAGATCTTCCTCCATTCCCCCAAAACCCTTTCCAGATACAGGTGTAGATTTTTCTGTTCTTGGAGCACCACCGTACCCTTCCTTCCCAGCTGAAGTCAGCTGTGGCCGCGTTCGCTGAGCTTCCTCAGACCCCCCGACCCGCTCCATGCCGTAGCTGCACTATTCCAACTATTTGCCCCTCCACCCCCTTCGTGTAAGTGGAAAGCCAGCCTCCACGCAGTCTGCGTTTCACTTGTCACTCAAGCACTGGAACATACTTCAGTAACAGTATTCCTGCCCTTAACACGAAGGATATTACACAGCCTTGGTTTTAGCTTTCAGCAGACGTGGGATTAGTTTCCAGTTTGTTACCACCTACCAACGATACTGAGCATCATTACAAACGGTCTGGGGAGGCCCGAAGGAAAACACGCCTGGCAGAGCTTACTTCAAGCAGCTCTAACAAAGGCATTCAGTAAAAAAGCAGTGGTGTGACTTAAACGACAAACTAAGGTAGACATGATTGAGGTAGCCTCACATTATAGGCACTTCTGGTAGTAAATTCCTTTTTGCAACACTTGGCTTCTGACAAAACGGTTAAATGCATCTTGATTAACTGCTAACTTCATCAGACTGGAAGAGAAAAAATTATGCTGCAGTTGGCTGTTTCATTGCCAACAGTATTCCAGCACTTCTGTACTACCTAACAACAAGGAACTAGTAAGCTGTTAGTGTGAGCGGTTACTTCAGAGAGCTGCAGGTCACTGGGTACCAAGGTACCCTGACAGGATTTTCCTTTCTGGGTCTGGAAGTTCAGGTTGCAAAAAGTGCCAACGGCTGAGCGGTGGATGGAGGCTGGAAACCAGAATCATCACGATTGATCTCAAGATAGTTTTGACTTAAGTCACATGCCTGCCTACAACTTTACTGATACGAGGTGTAAGTTTTGCAGCAACAAATACCTACTGCTGCAAAAGGTCGGGGTGCACCTAAATTGGTGGCAAGGCAAGCTGGTGAGGGTAGCCCTCCCCTGCCCGTGCACCGCTCTTGGGTGACCACCACAGCAGGCAGAACCAAGCCATCACGCGTATTTAAACTGCACCAATACCATTCACACAACTGGGGGATGAAGATCACACAAAGTTTTAATGAGCAAGAAATAGATTTCTACTTTCATTAAGGAGATTAACATTATAAAAACAATTATAAGTTATGTGCTATTCTAGAAAGAAGGAAACACAACAATTTATACAGCTATAATTGTTTTACCACCCCCAACAATCTTATCCGATCTCCTGTGGAATCGGACTTTTAACAGAAGTCCACCTCCGAGGACAACCCTTCCCACTTTCCAAGCTCTCCCACCAGGAGATTCCAAACATTCTTCTTGTTTATCCCAGTAAATAAGCCGTCTCCTCCTAGAGAAATATGAGGAAACAAATATACATAGTGTTCCTCACTCCTGCAAGCCCACTCGGGACTTTTCAACCATGAACTGTGAGCGGCTCCCCCCACTAAAACAGGCTTCTTCCACCCCGAGCTGTGCCCACACAACTCCCGACCCTCCCGCGAGGGCAGCGGGGGAGAAGAGCAGCACCAAGCAAAGCCCACCCCAACGAACGGAACGCCCAGGCCCTCCAAAGGGACACCGCGTCGCTGCGGTCCTGGGTGAGGCTTCAGCGTATGGCGTTTACTTAGCGTTTGTCTGGCAGTTTTCTAAGATTTTTGATACAAGTCTCAAAAGTAGAACTGAATTTTTACATTTTTTTCGATTTCCTCTTCCCCATTTTTATACTGTGTATTGACCAGTTGTTGTTGTAACTTCCACTGAATGTTTCGAGCCGGTGCCTGTCAGCAGGTACAACCACTGCTTTATTTCACATCACCTCCTCCCTACTGCGCGGGGCAGGACGCGCAAAGCCTTACCTTCAGAGCAAGGAGTGCCAGCTACAGGCTGCTGGCATTACTGCAGGCAGCCAAAACACCGTCTTCATTAAACCTCACAGGAAGGGATTTTCTTAAGACTCGATGCCTAATATCACCGTGAAACTGCGTACGGATCATAACACAGAATTCCTAAGGTGTACCGTACATACTCTGCAAGAAAACCCAAGAACGAGGGGGAGCACAAATCCCAGCTGCAATACAGTAGCAAATTCCAGCTGTAACCTTGAAATTCAGCTAGACCCCTAGACGTTTATTATTACAATAATAAAAGCCTCATTTATCAAAACATTTTCTGTTTGACCCACCCTCTGGAAGTATCTTCAGGAAGATGTCTTTGTCCTGTGTACAATTAACAGTGTCCTAAATAAATCTTTGTTAAGTCTAGTAAGTTTGTTATGGTACCTCTGTAAATTAAGAATGTATTTAACCAATAAAATTTTTATAATTAAGTCACAATGGCATTGTTATTGTCTTGTCCTGCGGAGAGCTGAGCTTTCCAATTGACAGCACAGTTTTATGGATCTCATTCTGCTGATACATTTAACCCAAAAGCAAAAAAACCCCAAACCACCCCCAAACAACTAACACAGTAATACCACATCCCTTTACAAGCAGTCCAGACCCCCCCAGAGAATCCTGACTAACTCACCTTATCCAAGCCTTCGGCCTCAGGGAGGTTTCACACTTTCCACCTGCAGAATCTGTGACATCCGCTACCTGCAGCAGCCGGCCACCGTCGCAGGGTATCGCACATCACGACTGGGCAAGATTACTGTGAGGAAGACAAGGGCTGACCCGAGCTGATGGGCAACTCCACACATCCAGTGTGCTCTGCTGATTGCTGCTGTTCATACACCATGATTTGTCAGCTGACAGTTGTACAGAGAATACAGAAGATGCACAAAATTTTCCTCCCTGCTTACTTCCCCCCGCCTCTGAAATCATTTTATAAAGCATACATTTACCCAGAGCCCCTACGTGGTAATACCAGCAGTCTACCGTTCCAAAAAATAAATTAAAAAGAACTGGGAAAAAGCAAGTTCTCGTTCTTTCCCCAAATCCTCTTGGATGAGCCTTTTTGCAACATACACTCCTCAGATGTACAGCTGAAGGAAAAAGTAACAGGGTAAAAGACACACAAGTTTTCAGAAATGAGCTCAGAAACGACACCTTAGGATTTCTGACTCCGAGTCTACAGTGAGCACAGGCCAGCTGCAGTCCCTTAGGAGTTGTCTGATGGAACAATTGCCTAGCAGAGAAAATCCAGCCAACACACATCCGTTGCTAGAAAACTCCTGACAGATCATAATGCAGGGCTTGACTATATGCACATCTGTATCTGTGTATGTACACACCTGCATAGGATCAAGGATCTTCAACCTCACCACACTTACCCTAAATCATGCTTTGTTTTTCTAACCCCAGTGAAAAGTTCTCATTTTTGTTAGAGAAGCAATAAGGCATTTGTTGCAATTTATGGCTTCCAAAATACAACCATCAGGGACTCCTGGAGGAGAATGACACCTGCCGCAAACGCACAGAGCGAAGCAGATTAAAAGCAGCGCTATTCCCTTCTCCCGTTTTGGCACCATGAAAGGTCTGAGCACTCGCTGCCCTTCCACTACACAAACAGGACACAGCAGAACCAGGCGGCCTGTACTGACAACCCAATAAAGAGGGTTACCCGAGTAGTAAGCCATGGGCTCTTCTAAACATCATCCTCCGTATTAACACAGGAACTTGGAAATCACAAGATGAAATCACATCACTTACAGTCTTCTAAATAATTCAGAAAACATTCATTTTGCCTGTTATTTGCTCCAAACCAGAATTAGCCACTAGGAAAAGCTGACAATCCCCGACACTGGCGAGCACAGCCCTCACGGGCAGCAGCCCCCACCTTTCCCCCCCAGCATCTTTGCTGCAGCAGTCACCTTTCATCAGTCCCCGCCGTTTCTTGTCCTAAGCCAGGTCACCGCTGGCTGCAAGAGCCACCCTTGTCTCGGTGACCTCCCCAAACAGGTCAGTTCCCGTTTGTTCTCGGGTTTTAAAAATCACAAACTAACCAAAAATTTAATAGCACAAAGTTTAGGGTTGTTGCCCAATTCTGAACAAAACATCCTGACACTTCTGTGATTCTGGCTAAAGCCAGAAAAACACACTCTTCAGTTTTTAAACCGGCATAAGCTGAACAACAAGCAAAAATGCTGTCAGATAATGGAAAAAGCACCAAATCACTTCAGTGCGCTTTATTTTCAGAACATGGCCCACTGCCTTGTTACAGTAGAATTTTTTCCCCCCCGAAGTTCCACAGGTTTTTCAACTGTGATCACTGTTACCCCTCGGTTCCGACAAAGGTTAAAAAACTACTTGTGAGCAC